TCACTTTTTTTCTGCGCCGACTGGTTAGCATCGCGATATTTGATGATCGATATACGCAAGAGCATGGTTTTCATTTTTATTTTGTGTCCCGAAAACAAAATCTTTTTTTTTCTTCAAAGAACTCGTCTGCGAGGAATTCGTAAAGGTTTGGTAGTAGGGACGAAAGACAACCAATTATTAATATTTTCGTGCACGAACTGATGTTTATTATCTGTCCTAGTCAGCATTTCTAGAGGGAAAAAAGAAGTAGTTTGTTTGTGATGTGTGTGGGTGGGGGAGGAGGCGTCGTTTCGAAACGGTACTGGTTTCAGTTCATTTATCTAAGTGCCGAAATTCTCTGTAATGTGAGAAGGGAGTGTATTATTTTGTGAGCAGCGAAGCAGAAGTAACGGCCCGCGTATAAAATCGTTTGTGCTTGAGAGACGAAGCGCAGATCTGGCGCGTTGTGCGGGAGGAGGGGACTGGAGGAAGAAGAGGGGAGGGGTGATGATAGTAAAGAGGCGAAACTAAAGCACGGAAAGCGAAGATAGCAAGAAAGAGAAACTGACATCGTGGGAAAGAGAAAGTATTAATTGTGAAGCTGATTGAGGTGAAATACACACACCATAGAGGATCGGATTGAGAATTAAAACTTGCTTGAAGTAGGTGAAATAGAAAAAGAAGATGAGGAATTTATAAGCAAATAATGAGTAAATAATTCAATGAAAAAATTAGGAAAAGCGTCTGAGCACTGTCAATATATATGGCAGAAGTAAGTTATTAATGAAAAATTGTCTTCAGTGTTGGAAAAAACTTATTCAACTTTAATCGTTATTCTATACGAAACAAATCATTTTTTACGATATTGAAAACGTTTTAGCTTCATTAGTTTTCGAGATACGCATTTTTAATTGACTAGATGCATGTAATAACTACACTTTAAGACCATACTTTAAATGCATTTTCAGAGATTCTGACGTTTCTACGGCACTGGAACATATTGCTTTAGTTCTGTTGGTTTGTGTGATCTTATTTAAATTATAAATCGCTCTTATTTTAAATCATATTGGACTCCATTATATTTGGTACTAACATCGGAAAGATTATCTCAATGTTTCATGGAATTATTAATTTCATAAAACTGCTCCGTTCATGGTCTATTTTCCCTAGGGTGGATATAAACTATGCAATTTTAGCATTCCCACTTTGTTTATCCAAATTAAACTTTGGAACGTTCGCGGTCACAGAGTGGCTCACTGCCCCACTTGCCGCGACGTTGATACAAACCACACTGTGTAGTGGTCTCCATTAATCACGATCACTGTCGAGTTAGAACGCACTTGAAAAGTCATCTTTGCACAATACACTCAATAGTTTTATG